GGTTTTTCTGGGGAAATGGGGTTTGGGTGTCACTCCCCACTCGCAGCGTGTCCCAGGCAGTTCTCAGTGTGATGAGGATGGAGCCTCCTGTCAGGGTGTCACCCCGTGTCCCTGCCCTGACCCTGGCAGGGCTCCATCGTGGTGGGCATCGACTACGACTGCCGTGAGAAGATGATCTACTGGACCGACGTGGCCGGCCGGACCATCAGCCGGGCAGGGCTGGAGCCGGGCTCAGAGCCAGAGACCATCATCAGCTCAGGTGCGCTCCTGTCCCCGTGTCACCTGCCCAAAGCCACCTCTGCTGTCCCATCGCAGCTCCGGGGTTGTGGTTTTGCTAGGTTCAGTTTTTAGTGGTGGGGGAAAACCACAAGAAATCCCTCCTATTAGAAAATTCTGGAAATCTTCTTCGTTATGTCCAGCAAGCGCACAAAGCGTGAAATCTTTCTGTCAATACCTTATCTAAAAGCCATAAATCTTTGTGTTAATGAGGGTTTTTTGCCTCTCCGGGGGTTGGGGGGGAAATGTCATGGGTGCCTGTGGGTTCAAACCATGACAGGGGATCTCCCATCCCTTTGGGATGCCCGAGGGATCCCTGAGCGTGGCCATCCYCCAGCAGGGCTCATCAGCCCCGAGGGCTTGGCCGTGGATCACCTCCGCCGGGCCATGTTCTGGACGGACAGCGGGCTGGACAGGATCGAGCGTTCCCGGCTGGACGGCTCCGAGCGCCGCGTGCTCTTCGACACCGAGCTCGTCAACCCCCGCGCCATCGCCGTGGATCCCGTCCGAGGGTGAGAGCGGCCATTCCGCGGGCATTTTGCAAGGTGCAAAATTTGGATGCACCTGGGAGCAGCTCAGATTTGTCCTCTCCCCCASCCCCTTTTTTATTTAATAATTCAGGATTTGGCTGAAGCTGCCGTTTCAGTATCAGGATGTAGATTATTTTGAGTTTTGGAAACACCAGCTGTGCCTCCAGGGTGCTGTTGGGGTACAAAATGTGCTGCTCCTATGACTTGCCCTCGTCGAGGAACTGCTGTTGGGGTCATAAATATGTTTGATATTCTGCTTTGCTTGGAGAGATTTTTTTCTTCTAATCAAATAAAGATGGTCCAGGCACTGATAAGGGGAAAACCAGGCCTTGCTGCTGGCAAGAACCAGGATAATCTCCTGCCACTCCTCACTGTGCCGTGCCCTGTTTGTGCATTATTTCCCCAGCAACATTTACTGGACGGACTGGAATCGTGAAGCTCCCAAAATTGAAACTTCCACTGTCAACGGGGCCAACAGGAGGGTCCTGGTGCACACAGACATTGGTTTGCCCAATGGGCTGACTTTTGACCCCTTCTCCAAGCTGCTGTGCTGGGCAGACGCAGGTAATGTCCCCAAGGATGGRCCAGAGAATGTCACATTGAGCCTCRAGGGAAAAACTTTGAGGTTTTSKATGTCTTCAGCCCAGTGCTACCTGTGGGYTYYACTGTTGTGCCAGGGGAGSTTTAGATTGGATTTTAGGAAATGTTATTTTGTGGMAAATGTTGTTCWCAGGGCAGTGGTGGAGTCATCCCTGGAGKGATTTAAAAGCAGTGTGGATGTGGCMCTTGGGGACACGGAGCAGCGGTGGCCTTGGCAGTGCTGGGATRTGGTTGGATTGATGGTCTTAGAGGGTTTTTCCAACCTGAAGTTTATGATTCTACATCTTTGGGCTGAAAAGCTGTTTCAAAATGGAGTAAATCAGGGRAAGGTGCTGGGGCTCCCCAGGGGACGGGCATGGCCGTGAGGAACGTTTGGACAGCACTGCCARGGATGCCCAGGGTGGGATTATTGGGRTGTCWGTGCAGGGCCAGGAGCTGCTCCCTGTGATTCCATAAAACACAAAGAATGTCTTTGGTGTGGTATTTTTGGGACAT